TGTAAGTATTCAAGAGAACAACGTAAAATAAATAATTAATTGCAAAAAGACTTTTTCTTTGGATGTTAAAAATGTTATTTTAACAAGGTGCTACTAGAGACATGATGTAGTAGCTCAGGAGTTTTAATTAGAAGAAGCACTATGTATATCTATATCTATATATACATGTATATATATACGTCTCCAAGATCATTCATGTGTGAGGAATCCATTAAACCGTTTACTATAGATGATCAGTTTGGTTATTGGAAGGTGCAGCAGAAAGCACTAATGTCCGTGAAAAGTTTTCAATATCGTTTTTGTAACTAAAACAGGTTCAGTTAGGAAACAAGTGAAAAAGCAACGCACCTGAGATAAAATAGATGAACAATAATACTTTTTATGTGCCAACAACGGCTGCTGATGGTAGCCATGGTGATGATGATGATGATGCCTACAATCTGACTTGTGGCCAAATAACCATGACTAAACTTTTCGTCCTTTCTTATTCTGTTAACCAAACATTACCACTTCTAACACCCTTCTCGATTATTACAACAAATAATTTATTAAAGAGAGAAATCATAAACAACCGCACACTATTTACGATAACAGAATTATATAAGAACAAAGGCTTTCACGGCCGGAATCCATAGTAGAAGGAAGGTTCGGGCTATAGGGCCGTGGTCTAAGTGAATTATTCTATCCAGACGTTTCGTCGGCTACTGCGGCTGACATCCTCAGTGGTAGTGCTGCGTTGACAACGTGAACGTAGATTATATCTCGAAGTCTCGACAGCCTGGGCTCGAGACAACAGCAACAAAAAAAATTTCCCTCATTAACTTGAGATAGTTTGTAGCGGGATTGAAAATTAAAAATGAATTTTCACATTAGTACGTAAAGGTAGTATTCCGATTCTTAATTAGTACATTAATTGGTATCAAATTGAAAAGTACTATTCAAAGAAATAGAACTCGAGTTTTGTTTGACAAAGATGGTTTCAAAATCGACAACACATAGATGTATTTTTATATAAAGCGACTTAATACGACGTAAGTATAGCTATAGAAATAAAGTAGCTTAAGAAGGTTCCGTGTGGTGTGTGCAGTTGGCACAATAACCGATGCCACTATAAATCCGTATCCTCATTACTAACTTGTCGTTTTAATTGAAGTCTCATGTTTTGTTGAATTCTGTAAATACTCATAAATAAATAGACATTCCACTGTCCAGTTGAATCTGTACATATCGACTTCAAACGTTGCCTGTCTATCACTTCTGCAGTGTTTGATAATTACTCAAATAACATTTTATTTTATATATATATATTTCTTTCAAAAATACTGTAGATAAA